GTGTCTCAACGAATTCATCCAAAGAATACAAGAGTAATACATATTTGTGTGCAGTTCTGTGGGCCGTCGTCTTTGTCCAGATCTGGTCGCATCCGAGTCTCATCTATTTTGCTCCCATTCTGATGGCTATAAAAGCCGTCACATTCTTCTGGAATTATATTTCAAGCGTTTTATTCAATGAATTTAATCGATTGAATGCATTCATACAGAATCGAAACAGAGCTCTATTTAATCCGATTCTGCAATATATTTATAATTATTTTCTCATCGGGGATAAAGTGGTCAGTTGTTTAGTAATCCTTTTAAATATTAATTATTATTACAATTTGCAATTTAATTAAATAGATAATGGATTTCATAGAAACATCATTGGATGGATTGACCAGTATATCAGTCATTAGTCTAACTATAATCTCAATTCTATTTATTAGTGTGTTTATGTCAGTTCAGGTTTGTACAGTACTCGTAGATATGAATTGAGTTTAATTAATGAAAATTGTGTATACAAATCGTATTTATGGTAGATTTATGGGGAAAGTCTTCAATTAGTGAATTTGATGAGCAATGTATTCAATAAGACTCTCAATTCTTATCCGGAATCGACTCAACTGTTACCTGAAAGCCTTAGAGGAGTGGACGGAATGCTCGACGAAATGGTGAGAAATGGCTACGAATACGGCCGACAATACATTAAAACATCGGTCAGAAGCGCACTGAACGTCGACTCAAATGTGACACAAAGCAAAGACGTGGAGAAACAGATTCTTGAAGTGAGTTGTGATGTGTTGCAGAATGAAGACTCATATTGATTATAATTGCAGATCTGGGACAGGGCTTACCATTTATGGCTGATTCGCAACAATAACGAAACGGATACATTGCCTAAGAAAGGGCCGTACGATTTCGATAAGCTGTACAATGCACTCAAGACATTAGATCTAACCCTTTGCTTCAATATTGTCAAAGAAAATNCATTGCCTAAGAAAGGGCCGTACGATTTCGATAAGCTGTACAATGCACTCAAGACATTAGATCTAACCCTTTGCTTCAATATTGTCAAAGAAAATATCGATACATTAGTTTCGGTATTCGATTCCGTGTGGCTACTCCTAAAAGGGAACGTTACTCTACTATTCTCGGCGATCGCAGCCGTATTCTCTACTCTATTGGGCGGAGGTCTGGGACTTATGAATCTGGTCTTCAGTTTCGTACGTCTCACCACATCTTATCACTCATTATCCAAATGCTAATCACATGTATTTCCTGACAGATAATCTTCATGACAGCCCTTTTCTATCTGTTGTCTGCGAGTGGAGAGCACTATAAACCGGTAGAACTCGTGAATCAAATCTTTCCCTCAGAAGTGGGACCGCAGCCGACA